CACTAGCACGCCACACGCGTATGACTTGTGTTACTCCAGCTAGGCAAGGCAACATCATAAAAGAAGTGGAACCAGGGCCGAAATTGGGTAATGCTCTAGAGGAAGCAGATAGAGAAAAGGAGGAAGGAGTTCCGGCGATAGTAGAGACTGATGATTGTAAGGCATCACTTGGGTTCTGTGAATCAGGAACACCGCGTAGCTGATTAAATTTGGAGCCTGAAACTGGCGACGAATTCTCAGCCTGATTATAAGACCGAAGGTTAGACATGTTTGCTCGCACAAGCTGAAAAGTGTAATATAAGTATGTAGAGCGATTTGAAGGTATGGGAAAAATAAGGCAACTAATAAAATAATCAGAGAGAAAAGGGTAAAAAATACGGAAAGTAAAAAAATGTAGAGTATAGTAGTAAATTACGAAAATGGCGAAGCAAGAAGATGGCGAAGAAGAGTAAATGGCACAGAATAGCCTGATATGAGAGGATAGTGTGAGGAAGATAGTCAGTAAACAAGCCTCTCGCTAACAAGGCCTCTAACCTGATTAGGAGTTGGGGAGCTAAGATTGGATCTATTCGGAGAGTTGTGAGCGCTACGACTGGCTCTGTCGACCATGGTAATGGTTCCATTTTCAAAAACAAGCTGTCCACACGGCCGACTATGAGGATGAGGCTCTGAGGGACCAATAATGGATGCAACTCCTTCCCCAGCACCGGCAATTGTAGAAGAAGTATTGCCGACGAGAAGACAAGCTTGATTGGAGGCTGCAGCACTTGAACTATTATTTTTGCCGTTATTATGCAGAGTTGTCTGATAATTCAGCGATGATGTGTCCATTTGTTGTTGTTGAGGATGAGAATGCTGGAGTAGCATATGTGGTAGGGACTGTTGAGAACCACCAGCAGAGTGCAGTTGCCGGCCGGTCAATTGAGCAGCAAGACCAAAAGGAATGCTCATACTAGAGGGTCTGTTTAAGAAAAATTAAGCGTCTATAAGGAATCCGTCATAGCAGTTAACAACAAACCTAATTCTTGCAACAAAATTAAGTAGCTACTTTAAAACTAAGAGAAAATCGGTCAACCGGAATGGCTTAATTAGCAGAAACCCCAAGAATAAATGGTCTAAGTGGAGAACTGTCCAAATTAAATGAAAAACCCATATTTGTGTAATTCTCACCTCAAATATGATCCAAGCCTAGAATAAATGTTTTGTTTAATTTAATTATAGCAAATAAATTCGTTCAACCGTGAAGAGACGATTTAAGAATTAAGAAGAAAAGGTTAAAAATAAAGAAAGTATAAAAGATGTAGGGCATAGCAATAAAGGGCAGAAAAGGAAGTAAAACGAGAAGATAGAGTAAATAGGATAGAATAGCTTCTTCATTAGTACGTTGGAGTAAATATTCAATATATTCGATTCTAAATTATCTTTAAAGAGTAAGGAAATTACTTGATAAAAATTAGGAAAATTTAATACTACCGTTCAAATAAGGCTTATACCTATATTAGTTTAATAAAACATTTATTGGCAAGAAAGGAAACTGTTAAATTTCTATTTTGAAATCGGCATATGTGAAAAATGTACCTAAATCAGAAATAAATAGAAAATGTGACGGCTATACGTTGGTTTTAAAGTCAGAAATTATCAGTCCTAAACAATTTTTGTTCCTAGATGAATCGATTTTAACGTAGACTTATGTTAAAAATCCGCAAATGGTTTGAAAGAAAAGGGATTGCCTACATATTGGAACATGAGTCTTTTGGCTGGCACGGAAAGGAATAAGAAGCCAGTGGATCACTAGTCATCAAGACGTATCACATGTTTTGGTTGACGCATTATAATATTATTATGAGTGACTGTTAACGACAATTTATATTCATACACATTA